ATGTCATCAGCATAGCAGTGGATTGAGATATTGTGGAGGCTGATGATTTGGCCAAGGGGGGTAAGGTAAAGGATGAAGAGGATGGGGCCAAGGACTGACCCCTGGGGGACACCACATGTAACTGTGTGTGGATTTGATTTGGAGTGGCCTAGGGAGATATATTCTGTCCGGTTGTTGAGATATCATCTGAGAGCAGTGTCATTTAGTCCAGTAGTGAGCTGGAGCCGGTTTAAGAGAATGCCACGGTCAACAGTATCAAATCTAGCAGAGAGGTCGCGGAGGATGAGGAGGGATGAAGAACCAGCATCGGATAACATGAGTAGGTCGTTTGCGACTGACTATGGCTGTCTCTGTAGTGTGGGCGAAACGGAATCCTGACTGGAATTTTTTAAAGAGGTTGTTATGTTTGAGGTGTTCCTGAAGGCAAGTGGCAACCGCTTTCTCAAGTACTTTTGATATGAAAGAAAGATTTGAGATGAGCCTGTGGATAAAAATATAATTTTCGAGAAACTTTAAAGAATCTGCACTTGTGAATAAAAAAAAAGCCCAATAATGAAAACAATATAATTCCACATTTTTGTTTTAAAGAAAACAAATGTAATACAATTAGGAATCACGTTTTTTTTCGTGGTTTGGATCCATGACGTCACGTGACGCATCAGGAAGCGAGGGACTGAGCCTGAAAGCGGCCATTGGCCTCCATAAGTCGGTGTTCAGCTCTCCTCCTCCTCTCCATGGCCTCCTCCTTCCCGGACGCCTCCGCGTTGCTGGCGGACGCCCTCCTCCGGTTCGGGCAGCTCTTCCCGGAGGAGCCCCCCCCGCAGGTGGCGGTGTGCGCCCCGGGCAGAGTCAACCTGATCGGGGAGCACACCGACTACAACCAGGGATTCGTTCTTCCAATGGTGAAACACGCTCAGAACTGGTTTCTAAACAGATTTAGCTCCTTAAACTGGTTCCAAACTAAACTTTTATAAAAAAAAATTTTATTCAGGAAATAAACTGAAAAAATACAAGTGAATAAATGACGTTTTTCCTGATTGGTCCAGGCGCTTCCTCTGGTCACCGTGGTGGTGGGAGGGCCAACCTCTGCTCCGGGGGTTACCATAGTAACCGCCGCACAGGACGCTGATGAGCCGCGGAGAGTGGAGCTTATCTTGACAGGGGATGGATCCTCTCTGTCTCCAGGGTTACCCCGCTGGGCAAACTACGTGAAGGGAGTCATTCAGCACTACAGGGGTAAATAAATGAGCAGGAAGGGAGGAAAGCTTTCACTTCCTGCTTTTCATTAAAAAAACAGACATAAAACATTAGATGAAACATAACAAACAGACGGATGGTGTTTTTATTATCAATAGGGAAACAGAGAAAAAGAATAAACTTTATTAATTTCATGTATAAAGAGAGCGAAAGTTACCCATGTTACCATGACGATTGTGATCCTATCTAAATGGATCTGAGGCTAAAACTCCATCACTTCCATTTTAAACCACTGTTAACATAAACCTGTCAGCAGGGGCGGATTTGGGAAATTTGGGGCCCTAGGCAAAAACTTTTCCTGCTGTCTAAAAAGGAATGAACATTATTTCCAAGCACTTAGTTCACTTAGCTGATTGCTCCTCAGGGGCGGAGCTAGATGGGGTCAGGGGTGGCCATGGTCACCCTTAGCCAACCTGTGGCCACCCTGTGGCCAACTCTACCATTTATCCCTTCTAATACAGATGGTGCCAGCAGTAATACTTTCATGTGGAAAATTCAAAACATTTAAATTTGTTGTGGTTTATATACACATAAGTATATTAACACCAAAGATGATAAGTACAGAATTCATGCTCTTTTTAGAACTAGATTTTCTGTTTTATAAGGTAAAGAGAAAATTATGTGTCTCATCAAGTCATCTAGGAGTCTTCAGTGATAGATAAATAACTATTTTAATAAAAGCTTATTAAATAATCAATTTATGTAGATATTGGTACATGTTAATATCAATTTTATATGAATGATTAGTGATAAAAGTCGGTAAGTAATGACAATGGAAAAGATTTACGCCACTATACCTCTATTCCACTATACTGCTGAGACACACTTAATATTATAAGCGCTCTGATGGCATTTTGGTCAAAGGATTTTGATTAAAATCATAGTTAATGTGCACAAATAAGGAATACTTGTATTAACATATAAACAGAGTTTTATGGGGCCCCCAGGAACTTGGGGCCCTAGGCAACTGACTAGTTTTGCCTAATGGTAAAAGCATTTGCATAGATTGTAGTTATAAATACCCACATGTTTGCCTTTTATTAAAGCAGCTATTTAAACTAGCATTGATAATCGCCTGTGAGGCAGCACTCAGGAAGTACGGAGCGACTCACAGCAGCTTCACTGCTGTCATGAAATGGTAACCTTAGAACGACTGCTGCTTCCACTACAAGTAAGTAAACATCAAGAGAAAAGTCACCAAACTTGCCTCTAGTCACTTTTTTAAAGAAAAAGGTCTAGGTCTGAAGAGTCCCCAAATATAACAACAATATCCTGAAGCTGGCAGGTTAGGTTTAGTGTAAATACGATACTGACCAAAGGTTAACATTAGTATTAGCGGCTGTCACTCCCCGATCCGCACTATTGGCTCATTTGTGCATTTGCTTGCAGATATTCATCCAGGTCGCCATATATAATATGATTATGGTACTATATAATATTAGTATTTATTTATATCCTTAAATCACTAAAGAATGCTAATATATGTCTTTAAAAATTTTTTTATGACTTTTCTGAGACAATTTTGATGTTTTTTTTATTTTCTTTGTTAAACTGCTTCTCTGAGATCATGGGACATGCTTAGTACAGTCTGGCAAAATCTGATTAAACCACGTTTATCTGCATTTTAGTTGTTTCTTTATTTACATTACGCACATATACCATAAGGTTAACATGAAAGGAAAGATTAGATTTATATTTAGATCCAAAGCCGATAAAGTTAGCTAAAGGAAGTAGCCTAGGATCCCATTTCCGGCACAGATGAGTGATAAAACAGCAAGCATTTAAATGCATTTTATTTCTCAGGAAATACATTATTAACCTTTAAGACATTATAGTTTGGTACGCTTACTTTTTTTTAGGGAGGGAAAAATGTAATTTAGGTCTTTTAAACTAAGTAAAATTGAGGGTGACTTGGGTGGATATCTGGTTGATGATGAGCTGCTGCAGACGGGCTAACGTTAGCCCGTCTGCAGCAGCCTGGGCTAACGTTAGCCCCGGCTGCTGTAGATGGGCTAACGTTAGCCCCGGCTGCTGTAGATGGGCTAACGTTAGCCCCGGCTGCTGTAGATGGGCTAACCTTAGCCTTGGCTGCTGTAGACGGGGCTAACGTTGACCTTGGCCGTCGCAGACGGGCTAACGTTAGCTGAGGCTGCCCCTACATAGTTAGGAACTAATTTCTCACTGGGATTAGCTTCATAGTCATGGTAGGACACTTCTTTGATTTTATTTTCCAAAAAACTTTCGGCAGTAAATCTACTAAAATTTGGAATAAAACCTCATAAAACATTGCAACTGAATATCTGAATTCTTTCAAGTCAAGTGTTTTTTTTTTATTCAAATTCAATTAATTAATTAAATAGAAACAGCTGAAATAATTTTCAAAATCTGAAAAAACTGCTAACAAATTCAAATTAGCCTGAAAATGAAACAAGCCAATATAAAATCTACAAATTTTACTCATCTTTTAAATATTCATTTAGAGTATTTATTTTATAAAATAGACTATCAGAAAATCAGTGTTGCTTATATTGGCTAATTTTAAGTAAATTGCTTAATTAAAAAGCATTTTTTAGCTTCTCTCCTGCAGGTTTCCTCCACTTGTCTCACCAGCACCTTCTAGACTCTGGCTGTCATCTAGCAAAACAGCAGCGTCCTACAGATTCATTTTATGTTCAATTCACAACCAAAATGCAGATTTTGAATGTTCAGTAATGCCAGTACAATCTAGACTAATTCTCGTGTTTCATGACAACTTTAAAGAGAGAAAAATGTTTGCACTTCAAACTAGTTTACCTAGTTTTGCATGCTATCGCTATGTCCAGAGATTAGGACTTCTACATATCTGTTGACACAATGTTAAGCTGATAAAAGTTAAAGTCTTCTGACTATTGACTTACCTGAAGCGTTAGTTTTTGCCTTTTTAAAAATTAAGTCCCTCAAATCGCGTTGCTTGGCCGTGGTGCTGTTCAGAACACCATTACCTGCTATGGTGGTTGCGCCACTGAGGTCAAAAATGAAATGGCGTTTACCCTCTGGGCCACCATAATTTGGTCAGGCAACTCGTAAGCTCACAGCCTGCCAAATGTTGAAAGAGTAATATTATTGCCATTACTGTTAATATATAGTAGAAATTTACGCATTTAGTAATAAAATGTCACAGGGGATGGTATGCGGGGGATGGTCATTTAGGAAGGGGGAGGATTTTTAAGATTTTTTTAAGAAGGGGGATGCCATCCCCCCCTCATCCCCCTCAACTCGAGTACTTGTTCTAACCAGTAGGCCCCCACTCCTCCTTTAAGCTGGTATTTCCTTTTTTTCTCCTATTAACAGAATGAAAACAGAAATGACAAATGTTGCGCAAGCCTCAATTTAAACAAAGAAATAATATTTAATAAAAATCAGGCCGAAGATGAAAGGTGCTTTCCGATCGTCACAGCAAAACCAACAGACGTTCAAATCCAGGTTTCAAACCTAACAAATAAAACATATTCACACTTTAACTTGGAGATAAATGTAAAATATTTCAAATTGCATCATATTTATTTTCATGGGAAGAGAAACAAAATCATAACGCATCCGTATTCTGAGAATACCGCCCCCTACTGGTGTGTCTGACCTCGGGTGTGTCTGGATTGGAGTTTGATTGAATTGTTCCAGTTGAATCAAACTCATTTACCCCCAGATTCCACATCCTCCGCTCCGCCCCACTCATGCACGTCATACGGAGCTCCTGCTTAGTCATGTTAATCATTGAGAACTGTTCCACATCCAGGGCTTTCCTCTACAAATCACCGTCCACGTACGTCTTCTCTGTCCTTCACCGTCAAAATACGGAACCAAGCTAGTTTTTGCTCCGCTCTGGGCCGTTGGAAGCCTGTGAGCATACCCAGTCAGACCAGCATACCCATAGTCAATACCCGTATATCACTAAAGTTTTGTATGAAAAATAGACTTTGAAAGACCTCAACAGATGTGTATCCATTTAGATATGGACAAAAAAACTATTTAATTACTTAGTTTTTGGTGTTTTTTGAAGCATATGGCGATCTGACCTTAAATATATAATTTTTGTACATGACTAAAGGGATACACGCCCATTGAAGTAGTTAAAGTAGTAGTAGTAAAAAAAAGCTAAAGGGATGAACACAAATCTGACCTCTTGCGAACTCTTGCACGTGTATTGACTGTGGGTATGCTGGTCTGACAGAACACCTGCCATGTCAAGATCCTCAATTCCAATCGCACCAAACAGGATAAAGAACGTAGAGAAGATCCGGATTGTCAAATTAAATGACAGATTGCTAACTACAAATTAGAGCACAATTCTTCTATATTCCCAATAACTTAGGCTGTTTAATTAAATGATTGGGTGCAAAATGGTACTTCAATATACCAGGAAGCAAATTTCTCATCTCCATCAAATTATATATTTTATACTGCGAGGCTTAAAATTTTAATCAAATCCAGTCACAACAGCTTCGAAGAGCGAAAAACACTATTTAAAAGAAACTTCTTATGGCGGGAATGGATGAAGAGATGCTGAGTTTGGAAGTAGAGAACAAACCAGTGTTGTAAGATTAAACAATAAAAAGAAAAACTTTGGGCAGATGCTGATGATGAATTTTAATTACGTCACATTAAATTAAGTGTTCATTACCTCGTATTATTACGGAAGCCCAGAGCGGTCAAACTCTACTTTTTTTCTTTCTTTGCCTCCCCGAGATACCGACATAACTATCTCATTATCACGGTTAAACGGTTGATTCTTTTCTCCAGATAACCAGATAATTACCTCATTATCACTAGAAAACAGTTATTGATTTCTTTAGATAACGAGCTGATTAACCTGTCTGAGTAATGAATGAGGCTGGATTCCCAGTCCATCCATGCCTGCGGGGCCCATAGTTGTGCGCAAATAATCAGTTTTTCAGTTTCCTTTTTCTTTTCACTGATTGTCAGGTGGTGGTGTTTGATTGGATTACATGAAATACAGTAGAAACAAATCTTACACTCTTTTAAATTGAAAATTGGGCTCATTTTGGGGGTTAATACATCTTACAGCTGTTCCAGGCGTTACACCGGGGCTGTTCAGGAAACATCTGGAGGCATAGATCTGATTGCTTATGAATCAGAAGTGGAAGCAAATCATCAAAACCAACAACATTGGCTTTATAATGAGAAAATTATCTTGTTATCACAAGAAAATGGCTTTCGTTATCTTTAGATAATGAGAAAATTAACTTGAAAATTACTGTTAAAAAGTATCAGAGGGAAACGGCCGCTCTCGGCTTCCATATATTATGCTCCTATGAATTAAATAATAGTATTGCACATGCTCTCCTCGAGCTCCAAGAAACTCACAGCTGTAGGCTTTGCTTTGTGGAGGCTGTCTGGAACCGAGCGGGGCGGTTAAGGAGAATTTGTGATTTCGGGGTAAACTTTCTGCTTCTCAGACTTTGAGTCACCTTTTAGTGTGAAAACCTCTTCCTTTCTGTCTGTGATGAATTTTTCCCTGAGCTTCAGTCTGATTCTTCCATCATCTATAAAGCTGATGAACTTTAAGCACTGATCAACCATGACGTGGGGTTGTGTATGTAGCCGTTGCATCTTTTCAGGAACCACGGCTTGAATCTGAACCATCTCTCTGCAGCTCCTGCCCTCCCCAATTTCAGAGCGGTGGTAACTAGCAGCGTCCCCCTGGGGGGAGGTCTGTCCAGCTCGGCCTCACTGGAGGTAGCCTTCTACTCCTTCCTGCAGAAGCTCAAGCCAGGTGAGTCCTAATGGAGGCCCAGCCTGTTTCCAACGCGGTGGTTCAGATTTATACAACAAACATCACCTAAATACACCACCATTAAAAGAACCTTTAACCCTGAAACCCTGAAAGGGAATTCTGCCAAACGTAAAGATGATCCTTAGAAACAGCGTCTGGAATGTCAGGAAGTTTCAGTGCTACGTTTCTGTGGCCTTCACCTGTCGAACCGGCCTAGAGCCGTCTGTATCGGGTCAGATGGCCGTCCATAAAAACATTTGTGTTTTCATCTAAAGGTTTAAATGTAAGTTGTTACAGATCATTAAATTTAGGAATTTTATTTGTTCTTTGGTACCAACTCATACAGTGAGCATTTTATCTGTTAGAAAACAAGTTTAGAAGTTTTAAATAAATGTACTGATTTACATGTACAATTAAAAAATGTTGTGCAACTTAAAATTCAGGTTGCGAATTTCAAATTTACAAGTAAAGCGTTCAGGTGCATTACTGCCACCAACTGGTAAGGAGTGTAACATCTACATCAGGTGATCTAGATTTGTACTGTAAATTTCTGGTTTGTTCTAATAAATTGATCATTTATTATCATAAGTTTGTGATACACTCATAAGTCGTGATTCATACTTATATATTTGTGATTCGTGGTAATAAATTTGTAATTAGTACTTAAAGTAAAGGTTTGATCAGAACTCATAAAGTTGGATTTGTAAAATGTGTAATTCATCCTCGTAAATTAGGGATTTGTTATAATTAGTGTTGCACTGATGCCTGTTTTTGGCCCCGATACCTGGCTGTGCAGTATTGACCGATACCATCTGTTTGAAATTGATGTGTGTGCATTAGAGACTGACACGGGAGTGGATTTTCACTCCTGTCCCGTCCCACTCCCACAGAAAAAAATTGTGTCCCGTCCCGATCCCGGGCCAGAGTAGAAATCTAAATCCTGTCCCGTCCCACTCCTGGTGAAATTACCAGGAGTGGGACGGGATTCCCATTCAGAATGACTCCCGCTCCTGCATCACTCCCATTCTTGTTTTTGAGTGCGGGTGAAAAACTCAGAGCGGAAGCACTGTTGGTTTTTGGGTCATGTAGTTTTTTTGACTCGCATTATAGTGTAGGCTTCAAAGAAAAAAGCTACAAAATTTCTTCCTATTTTATTTTATTTTTTGGCATCGATCCTAGTTTTTTTTAGTTATTATTGGTTTGCTCCCGCTCCCATCTGCTCCCGTTAATGTTTAATCCTGTACCGTCCCTATCACATGATCGTTACTAATACTGACTCCCATCCCATGGGAATCCCGTGACCCGTGGGATTCACGAAAAAATGTCAGTCTCTAGTGTGTATATATGAAGAACTGCATACTACTTGGATGTAAATAATTGCCATCATGGCTTTGTCAAGCTGCTGCCTGCCTTTGGCAAGCAGGAAAATGACTAATACAAAGTGAATCCAGTAGAAATTGTATTGCCTACCTGGAATGGGTGACAATAGTTGAAGAAACTTTTGGCTCTATAAATGGTATCGGTGGTACGGTTTGCACTCGCTGACACCGATACCACCATTTTAGTGGCCCTGCCCTATACTGGTATCAGTGCAGCACTAGTTCTAATAGATTTATGATTCAAACTCGTAAAGCTGTGATTTGTTCTCATAAATTGAATATTCGTACTTGACTTGGACTCACTAGACTTGTAAAGTTGTGAGGTGTCTAATCAGCCTCTTAGTGAACAGGCGTACCTGAGAATTCCCACAATAAAAGGCCACTCTGAAAGGTACAGTTTTATCACACAGCACAATGCCACAGATGTGCTGATGAAGATTCCCAGTCATCCAGGTCATAGTCATTCTGTAAAAGTAAAAAACAAAATCCACTGGGCTTGGTTTCCAAGATTCGCTACCTCTCCAGAAAGCTTCCTGGAGAGGTAGCGAAACGTCTTCAAATCTTGGAAACCAAGTCCAGTGGATTTTTTTAACTTCTACGGAATGCCACAGATGTTGCAAGATTTTAAAGAGCGTGCAGTTGGGATGCTGATGGCAGGAATGTCAACCAGAGCTGTTGTTTAACTTAATAACAAAAACAAATACAGACATTAAACTAAATGATGTTTATTTGCTTACATATAATAATTTAGACGCTTTTTATTCACGATTATGCGACTCCTCACCTGCTTTTAGTTTAACTCCTCACCAGCCCACACTGATGAACAGCATCTAATAAATGGACCAAATTTATTTTCCAGGAGTAAAACCAACTTATCTTTTATTAAAATAGTTTCTTTGTTTTGTCGAACCGTGTTTTTCACAGATGATGGAGAAAAACTGCCTAAAGTTCTGGCCTGTCAGCAGGCCGAACACACCCATGCTGGAGTCCCGTGCGGCATCATGGACCAGTTTGTGTCTGTTTTCGGCAGGGAGGGCCAAGCTTTGCTCATTGACTGCAGGTACAGAAGAATCTGTCCTGTTTGTGCGTTTCAGCCCCTTTTCCCCTCCTCATCACTCCTAATGCCGTATTATTGTTTGTGGGTTCTGGGTCAGGTCTCTGGAAGCCACGCCGGTCCCTCTGGCAGACCCCGGCTTGGTCATCCTCATCACCAACTCTAACGTCAAACACTCGCTGACAGGCAGCGAGTACCCGACCAGACGCAGGCAGTGTGAGGAGGCCGCCTCTGCGCTGGGAAGGGACAGTCTGAGGGACGTAACCATGGCAGAGCTCCAAGGTCGGTTATGGAAGAGCCACTTACTGTCTACTAAACAGTTTTACTGCAACATGCTCCAGATTTTAGTGTCCTGATTTCAATTTTTACATTTTGGAGTTTTTTCTGTGAGAAGAATGATGGATTTAGAATTTATGAAATTTATCAACCAAACCAACATTTCTTTAGATGAAATCATTTTAAGTTGAGGTTGAGGTCTGTATCCATTACAACAGAGTACTTAGGCTTTTATAGATAAGAGAGAAAAAACATTTCTGTAAAGAAAATCTGAGGTTATTTTACCCCATTTTAACAAAGAACACACAAAAACTGGAACTTCTATGACCAGGGGCCGATTTAGGATATTTTGGCCCTTGGCGAAGACAGGCATGGGGCCTCTGAATTGAGAAGACAACACATAAAACAGACCCATTAGATAGAGAAATGTTAATAGAATAGACATCCATTATCTGTTCTAGGTTGTGTCCCTCTCTTCTTGTCCCTTTTCTTCTTGTTTTCCTCTCTATGTTTTGTACTCGCTGACTTTTCATGCTGTCTCTAAAGGAATGAAAGATTTTTTCCAAGCACTAAGCTCACTTAGCTGATTGCTCCTTCCTGTGTTTCCAAAAAGGCCAAAGTAAATAACCCAGTCCTTCTTTTCACTGTAGACAAGCCATGATCTGCTTCTCTGTTCTCCATTTTTCATTTGGATGAAATAATAGCTGCATGAATCATGACAGCAGACAAGATAGAGGAGAGCAGGAGGCGGGGTTACCAATCTACTTGCTCTGGAGAGCAGAGTTCGCTGCTTTTAGATGTTGTCTCCAAAGTCTCCAGTAGCAGAAAAAAGTCACTAGATTTGGCGCTAGGAGCTTTTTAGAAATCAAAGTTCTAGAGGGGTCTGAAAAGTGGCTAAATATAGCGACTAAAGCGCTAAGTTGGCAACACTGCTCTTTGCATGGTTTGTTTTCAAAAGGTTTGCTGCTGTCTGTTTGGACCTTTCTGAACATGTGCAGCAAATGGACTGATCCAATACGGTGGACACTGAAGGGGGGGGCTGAGATACACTTAATATTATCAGCGTTCTGATGGCATTTTAAGCCGGGCGTACACTGCGATTTTCTGCCGTTTTGTGGGCGATTTTCCAGTCGTGCGAGAATTTTCCAATCGGGCTGACCTACAGCCTGATGATGCGTGGTGTAGTGAACAGGGGGTAACGAGGGGCAATCAGCCTCTAATGACCACCTCCCCATCTGGAATCTTAAGGTCGGGAGAAAATCAAACATGTTTGAAATTCAGCCGTCGTAAGGTGGTCGTGGGCAAATCGCTCAGTGGGACAACAAGGATTCTTCTTCTTCCTCTCAGAGGAAAACCCAGCAGCATGGCGGGGGTGCAATGAGTGAAATGGAGTTCTGTCTGTAAAATTGACAGGCCTTAGTAGCCACGTTGCTCAGCTATGTCTTTCTCCAAATACGTCATCTCCTTTTCTTTTTAGGGCTTTCAGCAAAAAAATTGCCCAAATTGCCAAGGCAGCGCATTTCACTCTAGTTAGCTTCATATTACTCTTCTACTGGTTTGGCTTCAGGATAGACGAGTCTGAGTAGCTCCATCTCACTGCGGAGCTGAGTCCCACCTGGTTTTTAGACGTACAGTGTGAGCTGCAGCTGCGTGCAACGATTGAAAAAAGTCACACAGTGTACACCCAGCTTTAGTGAAAGGATTTTTATCAAAAACATAATTAATGTGCACAAATAAGGAATAGTTCCAATAACCATACATGTAAACAGAATTTTATGGGGCCCTAGGCAACTGCCTAGTATTGCCTAATGGTAACACACAGCTTAGATGATTTGACTCAGAATGATCTCTTCCTGTATTAAGGCTGATTTATACTGCATAGGTGTCGCAGTGAACGCAGAGACTACCCTGCCCCCTCCACAGACAATTCTGATGCACCTCTCCCAAATTATAGGTGACCGCAGACAGGAGGCCTCTGATTGGTCAAATCTACATCCGCTCGACATTATTTTCTGTTTGGTACCTTGCTGGCTTGTTTTGTTGACCACCATTGTGGAAAAGGACTGGTGTAGTTGGACCAGCTAGAAGAGCGAGGTGCGTGAGAACGCTGAGACCCTTTTCCCACCTGGATCCCCGCTCTTTTTGGCCCTCATGTCCCTCCGTTGTCGCACAAACTCGCCCCCACTTCCTCACCACCTCGGCCGTATCTAGACCCACAGCTAGTTCCTGATTGGCCCTCTGGCGTTGTGGCGTGGAATAACATAGCACAGACCACGCTTCAAAATAAGGCATAAATCAAAAATATCTGAGACAAACTCACTGCGACACACTGCTGCTGGAGGATAACCAGCCCTTTGGACCCCACATTAATCCTTTTTTGTAAAAGAAATGTAAAATTCTAATGGAATCGATGAAAACTTTATTTCTAATAGTCAGTGTTTACTTTGACCTCTTTTAGAGTCATAATAAAAATATCCTTGGACCAACACTCAGACAAAGGTTTGGAAGCTCCATGGTGAGTCAGAGGATTTACCAATAAACTGAAGCGAGGTCAACAGGAGGTCCGATGAATACTGGCAGCGAACTGGAAGCTTAGATGGGGAAGAAAAAAAAAAAAAAGAGGACAAACTGGGAAAAAATACATGAGAAACTAAAAAAAAACTTCCAGGTTAGCTGGAAGTTTATCACCAAGAGTATGGCAAGCAATATATAACAGTCTACATATTCATTGCCGAGATCTGCAGCATAATAAGTCAAAACTCTACTGATGTATGCGTAGGTTTGATGAGAAGAATGTTTCAGATAAAACGGAATGTTAAACATTCTAATTAAATATTAAATCGGCTTGCCATATTTGGAGATCGTTTGATACAGGGAGATGAAATGTAGTGATGTCATGAGGCGCGTGTCAAGTAATGGAGGGGGCGTTTCCCCGAAGCACGTGTCGAGGCGTGATTCATTTAGGGGCGGGGCCAAATTTGATGACGTCCGAAGCTTCGCTTCCGTGACACAAGGCGACCTCTTCAGGAAGTGGTTGAGACCGCGCAAGAACTTCGACAGGCATTTAAACAGCCTCATTATGGAGTCAAGATGTCAGAGTTTTTAAGGGAGAGTTCCTATCAGTTGGAGAAAGTTTGTTTATATTCTAAGAATAGATTCATTGGAAAAAAACAATCAATCTAGTTGGTTAAAACTATTTTGGTTTGATTCAACAATGTAATGATAGAAATCTGAGCAAACCGCTGGTTACAGTTGGAATATCGGTGTTAGGTAGTATTGTTTTCCAATTTGTATTTGTTTGCTCTAGTACAAATATAGATTGGGTAAAAACACCAAATCGCCAAATTAGATTGGTTGGTTTAACCAAAAGATTGGTTGAACACAAAACTTCCAACTCGATTAAAACCAAAAACTGTCGGAAAACTATTATGTTTGAAAAAAAATTACTAAAACCTTTCATTTTGTTCACCATTGCCCAATTTGCACAAACACTTTTACTGTCTGCTTGAGATTATGTCACTAAAATGGCAGAAAAACAGTGAAATCTGAATGATTGTTCTCTTCTAAGACATTTTACACACAAAAAGATTTTATTGTACACACCAATTATTAACAATTTTGTAGGAACTTAAATAGGAAAAAAAACAAGAAAAAATCACAGATATTATTACTAACTGTAGTTCTGCACTCCAGCAGTAGGTGGAGACATGTTCACATGAAGCTTCATGAACTGTTTAGATCGTTGAAGCAATTACCCCAAATGGTTCAAAGCCTCATGAAGCTTCATCTCATCATCACTACAGAAATGCTAAGCAACCAACGCAGTAAATTTGTTTTTGGTTTGAACGCAGCTTTTGAAATAGGAGGAAACATCCAACAAAATGTAAACACGACTGATAAGATAAAAATATGGCAAACCATGACCAACCAAATCAAAACCAAGCATAACATACAGGACTTATCATCAGCAGCATTCTGTGATGCAAAGTAGAATCATGTAGACCACCTTAAACTCGTATTATCCATGGCAAAAAGACTAGCTCATAGATAAATATTATTAGATATTTTATGCAGCTCCAGGGTACCTCGGACCTAAGCTCCTACTGAGGCCTCATCCAGGCAGGTCCTCACTGACCTCCATCCTTCTCAACGTTTCAGAGGCCAGGGAGAGGCTGGGTGACGTCACGTACCGCCGAGCTCGGCACGTCGTCGAAGAAATAGAAAGAACCGTTCAAGCTGCTGAAGCCCTGAAGAGAGGCGCCTACCAGGAGTTCGGTCGGCTCATGGTGGAGAGCCACAACTCTCTGAGGTAAAGAAGCAGCGTTTGGATTCTGGGTCGTGGACGGACTCTACGAGGCCGACTGTAACATGGCCATGTCGTGTCAGGGACCTGTATGAGGTGAGCTGCAGAGAACTGGATGAACTGGTATCGGCAGCCATGGAGGTGGAGGGGGTGTTTGGTAGTCGGATGACCGGTGGAGGGTTTGGAGGATGCACGGTGACCCTGCTGCAGGCCCACGCCGTGGACGAGGCCATACGACACATGAAGGTACGGCTCTCATCTGTTTGCTGCGAGATCCTTTTCCAGATTATGTCCCTTTATATTTCACACAGTAACATTATTTTATTCTAGCCTAAAGTTTTAGTGTTTAAAGAAATAAGGAAGCTGATTTCTTTTAATGTTGCCCTCTGAGCCAGGCCAGCTGAAAGGGCCATCTGGGTCCGGGGCAAAAGAGTCGAATATGGGCCCCCACTCCTTAGCCTATTAAATATACATAATTACGTATAAGTTAAGTCGTAGGGAAATAATATTTAAATGTCAAGTCATTCTGGCTTAAATATGTATATAAATGTACTCTTTACTTCTATTACAAAAAAAAAATCCTGTGTTTTTTTTCGTTATCTTCTGCAGGCCAGTTAGTTCAACGTCAGCCTGAACACCTAAATTCAGCCAATCATATATCAACGGTC